TGATGGTACTTTTGATATAATACCCATTTTCAAGTTACAATATCGTAGATAGATTTCCGTGGGATAATAATTTGCCAAAAAACCGAAAATATCAAAGGATAAAACTTTTTATCTTTTTTTCGACTTTCTGGTAAATCATTGATCCAAGAAAAATAAAAAAATTATATCGACCGTTGAACAATTGATGGTAAGGATTTGCGATATCTTTTGGCTGCTGGAGAGGGCACTGACTATACCATCAACACAACAGTTGAAGGTCCAATGACGGATAAATGATAAAGTTATTCTCAAGATCTTGGGTTCGATTCTACTAGTGAAAAGAGTGAACGCAATTAATTGTGTGACTAAAAACTGATTCCGGATACAAAAAATTAAATGAGCCGTAAACCTAATAAATTTTCTAGTTATAAAAAAATATATATATTATATATTATATCTGTTACACCTCTAATGTCTAAAATTACCATTAAATGAAATGCATTCATATCCTAATTTTTCTTTAGAGTATACGTGGTATTTCATATTCACTCTACTCTATAATTTAGTTTTACACCTACCACTCAGAATTTATACAGGAATTTTCATAATTTGTTTGTCTCTAACAATATCTTGGATTTACAGGCATACCAAAAAGATGGAAAAAAAAAGGGTAAGCAAAGTACGGAAAAAATTGTATGAACGTTTGTCCAATAAGGGTTTTTTATCAAAAATACCCCTACTATGCTTCAAAGACTTCAATGCATACCCGTGCAAAAATTTAAAAAAAAAGTTAGTTCAAAAAATACCCTAATAATTATGTTATTCTCATAATACCCATTGGTGTGGGTCCCAATGACAGAAACAGAAGACAGAGAGAACAGTTTTCGGTTCCCTAGAAAAAAAATTAAATATTTTAAAATTTTTAAAACTCCCTCCACCAAAAAAAATTAAATTTTTCGTGTGAATTTTAAAATTTTTCGGTGTGACCAGTGTGACCAAGTGACCAGTGTGACTAGTGTGACCAGTGTAACCAGTGTGACTAGTGTGACCATTGTGACCAAAATTAAATTTTGAACAGTGTGACCAAAACTAAATTTTGAACGGTGTGACCAGTGGGACTAACGTGTCTAGTGTGACCAGTGTGACTAGTATGACCAGTGTGACCAGTGTGACCAAAAAAAATTTTGAACGGTGTGACCAGTGTGACTAGTGTGACCAATGTGACTAGTGTGACCAGTGTGATCAAAATTAAATTTTAGATGGTGTACCTTTGTCAATCTGTTCCATTATCGCTCCGAACATTTATTTGGCATTAAATATGCGCCTCTTGCATATTCTTCGACAGATTTGCTATGTATCTATCTCATTTTCATAAATAAAACACACGATTCACTCTCAAAATCATAAAACGCAAACACAAAACACAAAGTTTATGCATCGAACCAATCTCTTGTATTAATGAGCTTACCTTCAGTTCTTGTCATTTGTTCTGTCTTAGACCGACTCAAGAAGAAGATATGAGGTCGTCGGTGAAGATATGCTCAACGAAATAATCACTTTTCGTTTGTTTTTCTATGTAAAAAAATGAAATGAGAAGAGAGAAAATGGAAAAGTTGAGAGAAAGATAAGAGTGGAGAGAGAAAATTAAGAAAGAAATGAAAAGTTGTCAAAGAATAAAAACGAGAGAGGTGAATTCAAAATGAAGAGATGAGTATCACGTTACTTTTGTGAGATGGTTAATTATGTAACAAAGTAAGGTTATAAACCCCCTACCATTGAAATCAGAATTCTTAATGTGGAGAAAGAAACCCACGCGCAGGATAAGCGCGTTACGAAAACTCGCCTGATTTGGGTGGGCCAGCGAAAATCAGCGGATTCTTGTGGGACGCGAAGTTTAGGCGCGTGAGCGTGAGCGTGAGCAACGCATTTTGTCATTTTTTTATAGCGTTTTTACTTTTACCTTTTTTTCCCATTATTATTACTAAAAAAAAATCCATCATTTCTCGGAATTATAATAATGCACACATTAATAATATATTCACTGCATCCATCCAATTATACTTTATCAATCCTCTCATAATGGGCACATGTCAGAGGCTTCATGGGCCCAATTAATTGCTCAGTTGTTCAAACTTCTTTGGCCCAATATTGAGGGTTCTTCGGCCCAATACACGCACTACTTGATTATATCGTCCATCGATATGTGCAGTAAAAGCTTGAAAAATGTCCTCCACAAACAAAAACAATTTGATACCAATTTCAAATGGTGCTTAATCCGGTTCCCCTCAATTTCATACCCGTTACTATTTTGTTACTGTTGTTTTCACGTTTTATTTAAATTATTTCACCCATATCTATATATATGTGGTTGGTCCACATCATAGAGGGGTAAGCATTTCAAGAGATGTAGAGGATGGATAATAATGGCCTAACAATAACAACTAATAATATTTTCCAATATAAATGGTTTACCTTCTTTGTCCTATCAAACCCATTTTGATTTTTCACCAAATCAATTTTTTTTTTGTCATTGTAAACATTTCAACCTTACATTATATTTATACATTTTATGTATTGTCAAAAAAAGGGGGTCCCACCACATTCAGCGGCTGCGCGTATACCATAATAGTTCATATAAAAACAAATATGGAATATAGTTAGAGATGCTAGATTGGGTGGATATTTGGGTAAGTATATGCTTATTCAGCACATTAGTTCAACTAAAAGGACTAGATTGTTTTCAAAGTTTCAAAACCTCTGGCACAAGTCTATGGAAATAATTCAAATTGATATATATATATATACACACACAGGCTTGGGGTGTAAAATATATATATCATAGGGTATTTGTTTGCATGATATAAGCCGATATTACATTATAAAAAAAAAATTGTGTATTTAAAAATCATATAAATCGCTTCATTTCGGCAAAAGTTGGTGGTGTCTTCCACCGCATCATATGTATAGATGATTAAATTATGGGATAAAGCACCGCCTCTCAACGTAACCCTAAATTTTAAAAATTATTGGATGATTATGCCCCCATCCCATACATTGAGTGTGACATGTTCATTTCGTGTGTATGAAAAGACAAAAAAATATAGTTGGGATTCAGCGTTTCATTTTCCAATACTTCAAAATATTTATATATATATATATATATATATATCTAGTCTAAAGCCCATATGTTATGTATAAAATACTTCTCCTTTCTATATGTGTGTATATATATATATATATGCATACATACATACACATATACGTACGTACATGTGTGTATTTTGTCTTGGATGAGGAAGAATCTACACCGTCCATGTCAGATGATACAGGATTAGTTAGTTTTGTTTTTCTTGAAAGCTACAAATCCGCTAACTTCCCAAAAACAATATATATATATATATATATAGAAATGATGACAAGATTTGATTAGCTACAAGAAAAGATGGAACCAATGTTTTGTATTAATTTTGTGTAAAGTGATCTTTAAATGTTTTGGCTAAGTGAACCGAGTTGGTGTTGTGAATTTGATTGGTCAATCGTCATTTATAAGAAACCAAATAATGCTCACCGGTTCATGCTTATAGATGTAACCATATATATATAATCATGTCAAATCTATACACTCATATAAATTGAATTATGTTAGTCTAACCACAAAGTCAGATTTAAATGATGCTTATAATATTCAGAGGAACGTGTGTGTGTATATATATATATATATGATTCATTCTTAGACGAAAAAGAAGAAGGTCATTATGATGATGATATTAGTGGTAGGGAAGGGTGCTTTGTCTGTCATATTTTAAAAGAAAATAAATATGTGTATATATATATATATATAGATGATTAAAATAAAGAAAAGAAATAGATATATAAACAAACAAATATACGGAGAGGAGGCTCACCATTCAAAGTAAACTTTGCGAAAGGGAAAAAACAACAAATTATTTAAGACAGTGTTGACTTGGACCAGATCATGCATGTGTTGCGCTCAAGATGCCATCCCCCCCTCGGCTCACATCTCTGTGTTTTTGCCTACCTGTCTCGGCCTTGCCACCACATTATTCCTCATATATATACACACATATATATATATATGTGCGTGTGTGTGTGTTATAACCCTCTTTTTTCTCACGGGACTCTATGCGTTGCGTATGCGTGTACATACCAATAACACACACTGTATATATGCGCGTGTATATATATGCGATATTCATGTATGTATGTCACTTCACTTGTAAATTGAAATGGGCCGGGGGATATGTGAAACCCTGAGGAGAAAACGATGCCAATGTCTTAAGTATCTAAAAACATCTACACTATTGTTGAATATTTAACTATTTCTTTTTATTTTATTTTATAAAATGTGAATATTTAATTATTCTTTTCCCCTTTATTTTTTTTTATCTCATCAAATACCATTTATTTCCTTCCTCTATTCTCAAATCAGTGCATTATTTTCATCATGGCCAGCATACAGAATCCAACTAAGCCTAATACACATTCACATTCAATACAAACATATATACATTTATATATATATTGTGTGTGTGTGTATATAACATGTCGTTATCATGGACAAAGCCAATTACCTGTAAGGACCAGATCTAAAAACACAGTAAGGTGTTAGTTCAATTCAAAGCAGTGGTACATTTCAACACATGCGAATACGAACTACCAACATACTTTACAAAAAAAAAAATAATACAATAACTAGCAACAAATCCATTTTAAATACACATTTATTTGGACTATATACAATGTTTTAAAAAAATTTATAGGTTTTTATGATCAAGCATGAATTTGCATGTTTGACATGAATTATGGTGGTGCATCGGATAATTTAACGAGACAAAAAAAAAATGCAATTGTGGGTGTTATATTTTCTCATCTAATCCTCTCATGCATTTCTAATTAAACCTCATTTATGGGATATTTAAATGTAAATATATAGTCGTAAGTTTTAATCTACATAATTAATTTTGTTAATTAACACCATTAAACAAACAAAAAAACAAGTGTTCATTCTTTTTTTTCTTTTTTTTTTGTTTTGGGTGAAATACAGTAGGAGAAGATGCATCTCGAATTTGTGAGAGATCATTAATGACAATCATGCTTATTATGTGCGGAGAGCCTTTGAAACCCTCCTCCCCTTTCGAAACACTCTCTTCTCGTATACGCGCACACCCGTTTTGTACACGACGGAACACATCTCCGCTATCGTTCGCGTGGATTCTTGCATGATCGGCGTTCTGGTTCATCTCTGATAATGGCGGTCCAAGCTCAGCGCCCTTCCACTGTCTTCTTCCCCAACAGGTCTCCTTCATCTCCGTCTCTCTCTCTCGCTCTCTCTCTGTGTATATGTGATCTTTCAACTTCTTTTTCGCTGGATTCTGCAGAAACGGACAAGAAGGGAATGATTGCTCGCTGCAGCCCCAGAAACCTCATTTCCCTTTCACCATCGGTGGCGGTCTCTCTTTATTTCCGATTCTTTCTTCGTTTTCCTTCTTCCTCTCAGTTTGTGCCCTGTCTTCTGTGTCTTCACGGTTTTTTTTTTTGTTGTTGTCGGGGGATTATTCAAGCAGGGGTTGGTACCACGAAGCGAACGGTAGAGGTTTCGCCGGCGAATGAAATACAAGCTGCGGTGGCTCCGATGAATCCTCCGCCGCCGCCAGTCATCGATACGACGCAGATGCAGAATAGCCGCCGCCGCCACCCACCGCCGAATGTGATCTCCACCGGTCTTCGTTTGTATCCCGGCGACCGCCATGAGCAGTTGCCGCAACAGTGCTCGAATCGGGAACAGTTGTTTACATCTTTTCCTGCGTTCTCCGGAGATCTCGCCGGAGAAATCAAACGGCAATCAGACGAACTGGACAGATTCCTTCAGAGCCAGGTGATCAATCTTCCCCATTGGAAATGAGCTTTCTTCAAATTCTTCTTCTTCTCAAAGTATTGGGTTTGCAGGGGGAGCAATTGCGGTGCACATTAGCAGAGAACAGGGAGAGGCACTATCGTGAGCTGCTGAGAGCAGCGGAGGAATTAGTAGCACGGAGGCTGAGAGAGAAAGAAACAGAGATGGAGAAAGCCACGCGCCGCCACGCGGAGCTGGAGGCGCGTGCAGCCCAGCTAGCAGCGGATGCACGCGTCTGGCAAGTGAGAGCGGCGACGAGAGAGGCTGAGGCGGCGTCGCTGCAGACTCAGCTGCAGCAAGCAACGACGGCGGAGCGTGAGGGGCGCGGCGGAGGAGCGGCGGAATTGGAGGACACGGAGTCGGTTTACGTGGATCCGAACAGGGTTGAGATGACCGGCCCGATCTGCAGGATTTGTCGGTGTCGGTCGGCGGCGGTGGTGGCACTGCCGTGTCGGCATCTCTGTCTCTGTATGGAATGCGACGGCGCCGCGAGAGCTTGCCCGCTTTGCCTCTCCTTCAAGAATTCCAGCGTCGAAGTTTTCTTTTCTTAATTGGGCCTCGTAGGCCCAACACGTCATTGAAATTTAAAAAAAACATATAATTAAGTGAAAAAAATCCCAATAATATATTATTTTGTATGTAAGTAATATAAGTTTGCTAAGAGTTGACGAACACAGGCCACATTGAATAGTGACATTTTGTTTCTCTTTATTTTCTTGTTTCTTTTGGAAATTCTTTGTTTTTCTTAAACAAAAATAATTTGTCAATTTGCTCAACATAAATTCGATTTTCTAATTCGTGGAAGGTTCGATCAAGATTCGTATGAGAAAGTTATTGACAAAGTATATTAGATACGTGATTGGATATTTGTTAGTTAGAAAAAAACGAATTTACAGACTTGAGATTTCTCTATTTTCGGCTCGTGGTTATATGAATTTACTATAACAAAATTTTTTGAAAAAAAAAACAATAAATGTATATTGGAATAAATGTCGTGATGGAGCACAACAAAGTAGCTCGGGTCTATGGACCATGAGGGATGCGATCAATAATCGCGGCCACAGTGATCCAAAGTCACGAACGGTTCAATCTTGTTAGTAGTTATACAAACCATTATATATATATATATATAATATTCCTGATCGGACATTATATAAAAAATATCTTCTATTTTCTATTTTGACTTCAATACACATTTTTCTTCAGCTGTGTGAATCTGTGATCTGTGTAAATTTGTTCGATCTAATTGGTCGTAATGTTAAACTTATGACGGTCACACTAATTTATTAGATTCATCATTTGCATATTTCATTAATAATTTGATAAAAATATTATAAATTATAATTTATAGGCAATGAAACCAATATGATCGGATCACAATATCATATCACAATCACAGCGCCTAATCTCAAAATCGGAATAATGTGGACAGGTATTGACAGTCGGTGGCCCAAAATACGAATTAATATTTTTGGATCCAACTGTACTCTTTAGGCCCATAATTTAAAAAAATCAGGAGATACTATGGGCCAAAAAATGGGCCTAACATCATCGGATATCATAATTAATATATTACCCAAGATCCACCAGGGGAAACACCAATATCGTATTTACAAAAACGATTAAACATCAACACGTGTTATATTCTAAACCGTGCCAGGTGGACCCTAGATTCTATATAATTTATAAAATAAAATAAAAAGTTGGAATGGGAATTGGAATTTCAGTGAGAGAATCTAACACGAGAAACGAGAGGTTTTCGTACATATGGCTTGTTCCTTCTACACGTGTCAGCTTTGTGGCACGGCATTCCGTGGTCCGTCCATCATATAGAATATTGTTTTCTTCTCCGGTTCTCCCCGTTTTATTATGACTAATAAAAACCCCCATGTGGCAAACTTTACAAAATTTTATCATTTTAATTACGCTTAATTATTATTTAACGCAATGTTGGGAAACGATCATATGGAAACATGTGCATTGGATGTGTACTATCTACCATAATTCCTTTGTTTCTCTGAGTTATTTCTTTCCCCGTTTTATTTATTTATTTTGCATTTCCTCCTATTTTCATTTCCGACCATATATATATATATATATATATATATATCATTTTAAACCAGCATTTCGAATAATGATAATTGTGTAATTTGTCGATTCTTAGAACGCCGGCTTGGACTCTTCTAAAGTAATTGAATTTAAAAATGAAATTTTAATATTAAACAAATTTTTTTATAGAGTGTCAGTAGAAGTGGGGTCCATAAGAATACATATCGGACGGCAGAGCAAGAATTAAATAAGGAGTGCGATATCGACCGTCCATCATGTAAAAACACGGAGATATAGATTTACCGCGATGTAGCGAATCAGAGCTCAGGCCTCCGCACGTGTCATGAGGCGCCGAGTCCTAAATCACACGTGTTCTTTGTATGAATCTTTGAAGATCTGCACTTTGCTAATTTGATTTAAAAATTCAGTAATTTGTTTTTTTATAATTACAAAATTTGCGCAATTTGAATCTCTCACTATTATTATTAAATTGTTGTGTTACTTTATTTTTTTTATGTTGTGTGCTTTTTTAACGATGGATATAGATGAAAACAAACAAACATACACAATTTCACTATTTTTCTTTTGAGTTTTAATAATTCCTCGGTAGAAATTAAGAATGATAATTCCATAATTGTTAATGCATAATTGGACAAAGACAAGCTACCCGATATAATTTTCAAATTTGTACAGAGAACAGTAAAAAAATTTGGGGGGACAAGATAGTGTAGTTCAAGTTGTAAATATTATTCGGTATATAATACAAATCACCTCCTACCAACAAAAAAAAGTTGAAAATATTAATCATTAATTTTATGTATATAAATAAATCCAATGAAAAGCTACAAAAGAAACACACATATATGATATGAACAATGGATGGGCAAGAAAGGAATCAACGGGCTGCCCGGGTTTTCCGGGCAAAGAGTCGAGGAAACAAGAACCTCGTAAATAGAGCAACTATTTTTTTATTTATTCGTTTTATGACTTTAAAAACTTTTACTGTACCAAATCATAAAAAATACTTTTACTTTATAAAATTTTGTATCTTAGAGGTATAATATTATAATTTTTAAAATTAAAATAATATGGATGCAAGAGGGTAAAAGTTAACGCAATGCAAACAATTTTTTCACAGGTTCATAAAAAAATAAATTATGCACTGGTTTTCTTTTTTTCTCTATTTGTTGTCAGAAAATGATAAGTAAAATATTATAATTTAAGAGGGAATGTATAAATTTTGGGTACTGTAAAAAAAATTGCTGGCTAAAACTTATTTAAATTTTATGAATGAATTACTAAAACCGTTACATATGGGCGAAAGTTTTGTTCATGTAGACATAAAAACATTTGCCAATCATAGTAAAATGCTAGTATCATGCGTATCTCCAAATGTTATACAATGTATTTATTTTTACCAATAATGGTAAGTTGATCGTATTTTAAATATAATAAGTACACATGGGGCCCACGTTTCCTATGGGCTCGGGAGGTGGGTCCATAATTATGGAGTGCGCTACCATCCAAAATACTTCAATAATAAATTTTAAAAGAAAAGTTTGAAAAGGACGGGAGCTAAAGGAAAAAAGAATTTAAAAAGAAAGAAAAGGACAAAGAGAGTGATGTCATGCCAGAGATATTTTTTTGGAAGCTTATATTCGTATAAAGGGAATATTTGTGAATAAAATATAAAATATTCTTCGTCATATAGGCAAAAAGGAATTTCTTTTTTTTTTAGAGGTTTGTAATCCAAGAGGGATTTATTTATATTTTACCACATTTATATCTATCACCAATCTATATTTGTCATACAGATATAAAATGTTGAATTTTATCTTATACAATTTGAATTTTTGTTGGCATTTAAATTGTAAATTATTTAAATGGGAGAAACAAAAATTAAATGAAAAGACAGGTGGGGCAAACTTTGCAAACTTCGGAGAGAAACAGTGGGTTTTGTTTAATTAGGAGGCTTGCGTGAGTGTACGACGTTAACTCCTTTTGTTTCCTTACACGCATCCCGGGGCGCGTGTTCCTCACTTCATTCCCATCATTGCATGTCACTCTCATCTTTCCAAATATTCTCTCTTCCCCAACGTCATAATTTATCACTAAATACCCATGCGGCATGAACAGTCTCTATAAATGATTTTTTACAAATTTATCTATTGTAATTAAAAATAGTATAAATATATATATATATATATATATATATAATCAGATGAGGAAAATACTTAATTTTCACTTATTACATATTTAATTATAATATACTTTGTTAAATTATGAAAATAAATGCCGTTACAATGAAAAGTGATGTATGGTGGAGCGATTGAAGTCACGCGCAGCCAGGCGCGTGAGGATCTGGCCTGCTTGTGGGACCCATCTTTTATGGACCGTGACAAGGATTTTGGCCTTTACTCTTAAGTTACCTTTATACCCCTCGAGTGTACCTCAAATTACGTTATTGTCCTTCAGACTGCAGAATTTTGTAATATTACCTTAAAATCTTTTATCCCCAAGGAGAATTGCTCCCTCTTACTTGGGTTAAAAAAATTTGTTATTCATAGCATTCGTATTTGTTTTATCTAAATAATAATAGTAATAATTGAAGTTTCAGATATTCTTCCTATATTCGAAATTGGGATTTTATAACGGAGTTATATTTATACGGTTCTCCGTAAATGCCAATTGTACCCCTCATATATTGGGATAATTTCACAAGTGCTTGTATTAACCGCTGTTTTAAAATTATTTTATCAGAAAACTATTGCTTGGAGACGTACTCAAACATACATGATGATGTCATTTAGGAGCGAATTCCGAGGGGAAGGAAAACACTGAATATTTTATATTGGAAACTGTTTCTATAATATCGGTCGCTTTTCATAATTTCTGAATATTAAATTGAGATGTTATTAATTTTTCCTTTTTTTAAAAAAAAAATATGAGTTAGTGGTTTCATTGGGTCTGTTGACATACTATCCTCACAACAATCCATGATCATTTAAAAAAATAAATAAGAATTCATCATCATCAACACCACAATGGCAACAATATAACAGACAAAAAGCAAAATGTGCCAATAAAAAAACACACGAAGGGGATGGCTATCTTCATTTGGATGAAAGAAACAAATTTGTAATTAGAATCGAATGGAATTTTAGAAAAATGACGACAAAAAAACAAAAATTGTTATGAATATATCAGTCCGGTTCAGTCAAACAAGTAGAATTTTAAAAAATGATGCAGATATTAACAAAAAAATTATTTTTTTATAAAGTAATATAAGCAAAGAATATATTTTGTTGGGGGGAGAAAGGGTCTAAGATGAGAAAAAAGAATTAGTCAGAAAAATAATTAATATCGGAGAGCTCAATTATTCCTCATAATAATGCGATGGTTAAAAAAGTTTTTTTAAAAATAAAAGAAAAAATAGTAGTTTTTGTTGTACTTTGAAGGTTTTGCTTACAAAGCCAATAGATTCCCTCTCCACTTTCCCTGAAACTTGCCCCTTGTTTCATTCTCTCTCTCTCTCCTCTCTCAAACAAAGCTGTTTTTGCTATAAAAGCTCACTCCACTTTCCTCCAAACTCTCCACCAAATCTCTCTCTCTCTCTCCATCTTCGCATCAGAAAGGAAATAGAGAAAGATTTTTAAAAAAAAAGGGAAACAAGAGATGGAGATCTCTGCGAGAAAGTCTTATTTCATAGAAGAAGACGATGGGTTGGCTTCAATTGCAGAGGTGGAGGCTGGTGTTTCTTCCCAGAACGCCGCCGTTTCGAGCCCCTTCTGCTACACGAGAAGGAACACCCTCAGGAACATGAACTACTTGAACTTCTACCCTCAGGGTTATTACCAGCATCAGTACTCAGTTTCCTCTCCGAGATCTGTCGTTTCCGGAAGGTTCCATGATTCCAGATTCGAAAACAGTTGTTACAGCCATCAGCAGCCTCATTACCTGGAATCTTGCACCATGTGCAAGAAGCCTCTAGTGAAGATAGACATCTACATGTACAGGTAAAATCACCTGATTGATCTGTTTCTCCTTTTTCCGATCCTTCTGTTTCTTAACGATTCCTGTGTGTCTTAGCCCGATGCCATCATGACCCAGATTCTGATTTACGATCGACATGATCGGTGTAGTTGTTGCAGAGATCAAAATTGGTTTTGTTTTGGTTTTCCTCTGAATTTTTGGCCTTTAGTTTCTGATTTTTTCCTCGTTTGTTAAGGAATCTGTGAAAATTGAGACGATTTGTTGGGTTTTGGCAGAGAACAAGTTGTCTGTTTTCTAACTTGTCGTATATTATTCAGCAGGGATCCTTGTTTCGAGATCTGTTTCGCAGAAATTTGAATGCGCTCTTGTTATTTTTCTTTTAAGATTCTTCTGTTTCCTTGATAAAGTTTCGATCTTTAGCAAAACCCATGTCTGATTTTCGATGCCCGGTAAAGGGATCTGTGTAGATTTAAGTTGTATTCAAGTCTCGAATTCGATTCTGATTTTTGAGTTGGATGCAAGTCACTGCTTTTTACATACGCTTGCCATAAAAGGAAGCAACAGTTTCCGGTCCTGTTTGGTTTGGTTGGCCACCAGGTAAAAATTGAAGAGGGTGGTTGAAAAATGAAAATCTCACTGACAATCCCTCTCAGTAGAAAACAGGGGAGAGAAAAAAAGGATCATACTTTCTTGTTCCCATACTTGATCTCGTTTGTCTGAAAGTGTTGATGATCTTTTCACAGAGGGGACATACCGTTCTGTAGCGAGGAGTGCAGACAAGAGCAGATAGACAGAGACGAGGCGGTGGAGAAGAAGAAGAGAGTGTCATCTTCCATGAAAGCTATGAGGAGAAAGGAACAGAGCTCTTCTGCTTCTTCTTCCCCCAACAGATCTCCGGATTACTCTTTTAAAGCCGGAACTGTTGCTGCCGCTTGATTTCTCTTAATGAAACTCCTGCAAGTTCTAGTTTGAGGCGAAATAGTTCATCTTCTAAAGGTGGAAGCTTTGAAAACTCTTCACGAGGAAAGATAAAAAAAGGAGGAGAAACCTCTCTTCTTCAAAGGGCTTTTTTTTTTTACTTTTTTTTTTTTGAGAATTTGAGAAGAGGACTATGATCATGATAACTTACATGGGATGGGGATGGGTGGGTGGATGTATATCGTTTTCCTTTTTTTTATTTTTTTGAGGAAGTTATATATATATATATATGTGTATATGTATATGTAACTGTTTCTGTTTCTATGTTTTTTTTTGTATGAAAAGAAATGGTAAGGAGATGCAAAAGAATTTTAAAGGTTTTGTGAATTTATTGTTACATATTCGTTTGTTGTGGTCATGATGGGATCCCTCCCTTTGTGTTTCCTTATTGGGGAATGTTTGACGAAAGGCAAAGTGGGAATGGTAATAATGTTGTGTGTGTATCTTTTTCTCTGCACATTCTTTTTCTTTCCAAAAAGGGATGAGATTTTACACTTGAGTGGGGTGGAGGGATTTGATTTCTTCGTTAATAATAAAAATAAAATTAAAGAAATTGCAAATTGGTAGGTTGATGCACACAATGAATATATCATGGGCAAACCCTGTATTATGGAATATTTCAGATGATATTTTTTTTTCCAAGGTATTTGGGCCGTATGACTTGTATCGTTTTTGGGCTTTGTTGGACCAATTTTACCCTATATATATGGAGAGTGTAATAACCTTTGTTTATATACGTAAACAAAGTTATAAATTAAGGGAATTCGTTAATGATGGTGCCAAGTGCATCCGAGACAGAAGCCATGGTCGGACGCTCTTTGTAGTTGACGTTCAGACAGGATTCGGCCAGTTTGGCCACTCTCCGGGCAGCGGCCACCGGGAAATTGTTCCTCAGCCGAGGATCCAACACCATTCTGAACCTTCTGCTCTCCGCCGGAAACTGTCTCACCCATTCTAGAAGCTTCTCCTCCCCCTCCGGCCTCTTCCTCTCTATGGCTCGACGCCCTGTTATGATCTCGTACAGCACCACCCCGAAGCTGTATACGTCACTCTGTGACCGTAGATGTCCCGTCTCCACGTACTCTGGAGCTGCGTATCCCTGTGTTCCCACCCTCTGCATGCATGCATGCATCCACATATATACTCGTTTATATATGTATGAGAGCCTCTTCTTTACTATTTGTTCTTACCAAATCATATGAACAAGTGATAATTGTAGATACTCACAGCAGTGGTGACGTGGGTCTTGCCGTCCTGTGGCCCCTCTCTCGCGAGGCCGAAGTCCGATAATTTCGGCCTAAACTCCTCGTCCAAAAGCACGTTTGATGTTTTGAAGTCTCGGTATATCACCTGCCAATATATGCAGTATACCTCAGCCATCAGATTTCCTGAATAACCACACGTATGTCCTCAGCTATCAGATTTCCTCGAGATGTGCATATAGTTCGTGGACTATTTGATATGCCTGATAACGAGAAATGGAAAACTAACAAATGGGTTCTGTGAAAAATGTGATTTTTGTTTCCCTAAACACCCGGATGATTCAGAAGCATGAACTCAACCAAATGGTGAACTGGGGTTGTAAGAGTGAGAGTCAACCTCGATTCCGAGCCCAGAATGCAAATAAGCGAGACCTTGAGCGGCACCATGCATGATCTCGAGCCTCTGTTTCCATGGCAAAGTGGGTGATCGACGGCTGATGAGATGGTCCTCTAAACTTCTGTTAGGCATGAACTCGTACACTAGGAGCCGTTCTATCCCTCTCTCGTCGTCATCCTGCGAGCAGTAACCCAATAGCCTCACTACGTTGGGATGCTTCACCATTCCCAGGAACTGAACCTCTTTTAGCCATTCCTTATGACCCTACAGGAACCAGACAGAGATGGTTCGAGTTGACTTGTACAGTTTTCTTTACGGGTTAACTCTAAAACTATAATATAATGGAACCATGTTGTAATGCATGCGTTGAAACAGTAAGTCATACAGGCAAAACCCAGATCAAAGTCCCCAATTTTATCGAAGAATCTGATGAAGTTGAGAGAGTGCACTTCCTATTTCAGCGTTTCATCCATTCTTTGATGATTGAGAAAGGTGGAGACATATGGCTTCGATGTCGGGTTCAATAGTACACCCAAAGGTGATATAACTGAGATACGAAAAGACGGCGAGAACAGTGAAGTGATCAATGGAAGTACCTGTAGGCCTCTCTGGTTGAGTTTCTTGATGGCGACGACAAGCGGGGAACCAGAGCCGTCGATCGAAATCGTGCCTTTGTACACACTCCCAAATCCGCCTTCTCCGATCTTAAGCTTTCTGTTGAACCCGTCCGTAGCGTCACCGAGTTCCCTGTAAGAAAAAACCCTAAGTTTGTCTTCTCTATCTGTGTGCAATTCACCATTAATCATCCTCGGAGAAGGCAGAGATCTGGGTGCAGGGAGATTGAACGAAGAAGATGGGTTCGAACGGTTATTCCTCGCCGACAGTTCGGGAGCTGATTTGGGTGAAGACCCTCCACTTCTGTTGTTGAAGTTGTTCTTCTTCAGGACATAATCGGGTTTGGGGTTCTTTGACTTGAACAAGAAGAGGCAGTTCATGTCTCTCTGTTTTCCTTTTTACCTCTGCCGACAGGAAAAACGAAAAGAAAAGATTTTTTTTCCTGTTCGGGGTTATTTGGGTGTTTTTTTTAGTGGGAAACTAAAATCAGAGCATGAAGGATTCAGAATCCAAAAAGATTTTGACAGAATATGAAAGAGAGAAACAGAGTATCAATAAAAAAGCGGAGACTTTCGTTGGATTATTCCGCAGGGGAAAAAGAGATAATTCGGATGGAAAACCAATGAGAAATTAGTTGCCGGAACCGTCCGGCTTGAACAGAAGGTTTTGTTGAAGTGAAGACCTAAATCTGATCAAAGAGAACTGCAGTGATCTGAATCTGAAATGAACAAACAATCGAAACGGGTTTCAGACAAAACTGGTCGCGATCCGTTTGGTCTTAATGATGTGATATAAATAGCACAGATGATGTGATGTCCCTACCGACGAAGGAAGAACGGTTTTCCGAGAAATTAAGGAGAGACAATAGAAGCGACAGACAGAATCCGAGATTCGGTGAGGGGAAACAGCGACAAGTTTTTTTTTTTTTGTAAAGGCGGAAATTTTTTGGCGATTAACGTACTAGAGGAACACATGAGAAACCGACAAAACAATACAGTGTACGGAAGAGACGTGAGATAGAGGACATTGAAGAGACCATAATGTTATAACATTACGGAAATACAGAATTGCATGTCCCCCTCCATTTGGTTGATCTTACGAAATAAATTTGGTTCCCAGCCGAAGACGCGAGGAGTGCTTTCAAGTCAACGATTAGTTTCAAAGATCATGACTCCCCCCCCCATTTGAAATTTGAACCCTTGGATTAATTATTTAGTTGTTCATATATATATATATATATATATATAAGAAAAGTATGAGATGAATCTAGGTTTATGTTAAAACGATGAAAATATTATCGAATGTAGGACCGGTTTCAACTGCTCTAATTTCTTTTTCCACGAGAGGATGTGATGTGCTGAAACCGCGTTCTATTTGTCTCGTAGAGCTATTTCTGGGAAATTTAATTGACACATTTTATTTCTTGACGGAAAGCCATTTTATTTTCAAACTCCTCACACCTGTTATTCGGTTCGGTATTCAAACGATTCGATTTGGGAACAATATTTTCGGTTTTATAAAAATTATATCAAATTAGAACTGAATAGTAACCGCTTCAGTTTTAATATCGGTTCGTTATGTGAATGCTAAATGAATATCAAACTATAGTATTTACAAATATATTATTAGATAATTCAGATTTTATTTCAGTATTTATTGAATTTGATTCGATATTTATATGATTCGGTTCAAAAACGATTTATTCGATGTTGATTTGGTTCGGATCGGATCAAAACTAAATTTTCGAATTGAAATGCCCACCTCTAGAAAAGAAAGTAAGGTTTTGAATGGAGATGACTTTTATTTTGGGTTTTTGATTTTAGTTTTTGGATTTTGGTTTTTAGTTTTTGGTTTTTATAATATTTGAAAACTCAAAAAAAGTAGCTTTTGGTTTTTCATTGATTTTTTTCACTAAAATGGCTTTCCAAATTTTTAGGAAAAGTAATTTTGTAAAAATTTGAATGTTGTTTTTTTTGGTTTTTGGATTCTAAAAACTCCAAAAACTCCTACCATTCAAGGCCTAAACTTAAAAGGTGGTCGGTAAAATGGAGATGCAAAGCGTCTATTTCGTTCCGAATTCGAACCTCAAATTGGTGAGAGAACGTATAATTCAAAGCACATGGTTGATTATCGATTTCGAAATTAATTTGGATTTCGGCCCAGCATAATCGGTTATAAAAAAAAACATTACATCACCTGCCCGCTTCTTCCGGTGTTCAAGCTTTGTGGGAATTATTATTATTATTTTTATTATTATTATTAGAGAATAATTACGGTTATTATGACGATAAATATGGGAGTTAGGCGACACGTCAAGTTGAAGGATCCAACCCATGACGTCAGCTTTGTGTCGTCATGCTTTCTTTATTAGTCCTTTTTTAAAAAAAAATTATTTTCCTTTAAAAACAGGTAAAGGAATGATGTTACAAGTGGTGTGTTTTCGCGTGTTGAAACATCGCTCTCTCGTCTATCTGGATGGACAGTCAACCAAACCCCTTGAGGAGAGCAGTTGGGTCCATTTGCATTGTACAACTGATTTTTCAAAGTTGTTTAAGGTTATTTGCCCTAAAACCATATTTCTTTGTCAATCACTGCAGATTTCATGAAAAAAAAAAACGAACAAAAAGAAAAAAGAAAAAGAGGGAAGAAAGAGGAGAAAATGGGAAATGTGACGATGATTACTGTAGTCACAACACAAGTATGAATGAGCATAAGAGCCTCAGTCAAGTCATGAGTATGTTTGTTTTGGTAAATGGATTGGGGGGCTTTAATGGTGGTATTTATATATATAACATCTCCAAAAAAGATAGGAATCTTGATGGTTGCTTCCCTCTCCCCCTCCTTTCCCCTCCTCCGGTCTAGTCTAAGTGTTTTTCTGTCAAGCCCTTTGCTCGTAAGCGTTTTCGTCTACCTTAACGCCAGGTCCGTACACCAGACGGCAGCGCTCGCTGAACGCTCCCACCAGTCTAGACGCCACCTCCTTGAAGAACATCGACGCCACCTGAAAAAGTTTCAACCTCAATTCAATTCATTATATCAGGGTTTGATTCTTGTGTACAATCTCGTTCCACAGTTTTCTTTACAAACCTGTCGATAAAGGGGTGAGTTGAATTTGAAGTCCACAAGGAAGTAAAGGTCACACGTCCCTGGGATGGGTCCGGGCTTAAATTGCCACTCGTTTATCAAATGGTCAAACACTCCCGTGTCCTTCGCCGTTGTCTGCCCAAACAACCAAATATGTTATCATAATATCTTACGGTCACTCTCAATCCAATCAGAATATGCATTAATCACTTCAACTCCAAAAACATAAAAACCATGGAAGCGGTGGAACATCGTACGAACTCTAGATCATGATTAAGAGGAAGACATCTAAAGTACTAAACTTGACGTTTAGGAAGACTACCTTTATCCATTTTGGCCTTTCCAACTCCACATGTGATATATAACTCTCTACCAGAAACTTAAAACCGATCTCCAACTCCGCATCGAACGACCCGTTTGGATATTCTTTAAGAATCTCAGAGCGTTGACACCAGGGAACAAATCCATGGTACAAATCAACAGCTGCGACCACATTGAACAGCTGCTCTGGGGAATATCTGAGATCAAAAGCCGCAAGAACAAACAGATATCATACGTTATCGCTTAGACGATAAAACCTTAACGATGTCTTGGCACGATAAGATCCATAGAGCAGCAAACATGACCTTGGGTCTTGGATAAATATAACATCTGTCACGACTGAGATCCTTCAGAATACTATCTTACCAAACGGTGGGAATCAGTTCGTTGAGTTAATGTTCCAGAAATAACAGAAACACACACAGCTTTTTGACACAATTAACAGATATATGCATCGAGCCGGAAGCTCTCTACACGGAAATCAGCTTATGATCTGGTTCATTCCAAACAATGGAAGCGCATAAACGAAAGAAAGAACATTGAGCAGGAGGATCATTCTCTAATACCTGTTACCAGTCCTAGAATCCAGGAGCATGAAGGAATAAGTGTCTAGTAATTCGGATGATTTTGAGAACATAGAACAGCAGCGAACGAGAACAGAAGAGATCATACAAGCAGCAGATGACAAACGTATAAATCGGACCAAAGCGTTTACCCCATGAGACGTCGCTCTTGGTAGACCTTCGACAATTGACCACCTTCCTCCCCGTCCCCACAACCCAAAAAATTCCTCCTCTGATATATGCCGCCCGATGATCTTCCGACAGAGACACGAACCTCGTCCTCGCACTTGGATCTGTAAGGAAGAGAGCATCTGTCGATACCTGCTAAACTACCCAATCCACGAAATTGATCGAATGTAGAACTCCTCGGGGCACGGCTGACCGAGTTCCTGAACCCGTTTCGACATGAAACGAGGGAAAATATGGCCCTCGGACCAGGCGTAAACGGTGGCATTATACCAAATCCCGATTCAATATGCCGAATTGGCCGAATTGGCCGAATTGGATTGAAATCCTGATTAGGGTTCCAAAAAAATGAGGGCAGGACCAGAGATGGGAGAACTTGGTAGAAATTACGAGTCGTTCAGCAGAAGAGACGCATAAAAGTATCCGACTTTATGCGGAATTGTGCAAAGGGATCAGAATAGCACCGAAGGCGGCGTCGAATCGATGGCCATGTTTCGGAGAGAGAGAGAGAACCACTGTTCAAACAGGAGACGGCAACGAGGAGAAATGGGCGAAACTTTATACGGAGAAATAAAAATCTATTTGAAAATTATTTTCTTTCAAAGAAACAAAAGAGAATAATTCGGCGCAACAATCAGGGAATTTTACTCAAATGACCGAGTTCGGTCGCACATATTTCACGTGTATACCAGAAAAAACTTAACACTTTTTTTTATGTGAAAAGACGAAATTACCCTTAATGAATACGCGATTTTTATCCATTCGAAAACAACTTCGTTATTACGATTTCGTAATTAATTCTAAATATAGTTACAATTGATTCTAAAAAAGGTGGCAAAAAAATCATCTTTCTTATTTTAGTGGTATATCAGTTATATGTTAGTCGTAATAAGGTCGCAAAAAATAAAACGAAAAGGGTATTTCGGACTTTTCCAACCAAAAAGTGGGTTAAAATTGAAATTTTTTTTTTTTTCGGTGGTGTACATTGAAATTGATGCGATCCAAGTGGGTTATTTGAGTAATATTCCCCAACGGGCTTGGAGTCATTAGACAAAGGCAGATTTTATTTATTTTTCCTTGTATGTTTTTTTTTTAATGTCTAGAATCCAATTTTAAGAGACCAATACAAATTCCTCAGTTTGCTCAGAAGGGCCTAATAAATACCAAATTCCTCCGTTTTCACCACACAATATTAATTTGTAACAAAATCGACACTTCAATTCTTTTAGACGAATCTTACAGTGAGTAGCCCAACAAACAAACGTATGATTATTATTTATTATGGCTTTATAAACCTGTACAAAGTCGGAGTTTTTTTTTGTAACAAGAAGAATATGATGTAAGGATTAGCAAGTAAATAACCCTGATTCGAGGATTTAAAATAAAATGTACAAAAGAGAAGTACAAAAAAAAGCTTCATTTGGAAGGGGTATTCACCTTAATTTCACCGGGATATCTGGAATATATAATTGGATCGAAAACACGGTGAACTCTCGGATTGTCAAAAAAAAAAAAACTTTTATCCAAAGGAAAAGAGAAATGAACCTAACGATAGACAAAGGCAGAATGTGATTAGGCTACTTTGCAAAACTCAAGGAATCAGTCGTAGTGTAACGGCAGTGGTAGATGGTCAAAACAGGAGCTCGTTTACTCATTCACGCGGCAGTCTCCTCCTCCACCTCCGAATTGAACACAAAACTCGGAAACGTTGTTGTTATGTCCCTGCAAATTATTATTATTATTATTAGGAGCACAGATACGTATGAATAATTTAAACTCACATACCTCAAATACGGGACGGTCATGATCTTGAGCAATGACGGATGTTTCATCACAAAATCATGCCACTCGGATCTATCGATCTTCCCATCCCGATTCACGTCTGCGTCCTGGAACGTCTGCTCATGAACATACACGTTAACCACATTTTCAAACATGAAAATTTACTATCATTGTCCAATAAATCTTTACATGTAATGGTTTCATGCCTCCAAAGAGCCAAAAAGACAAAAGTAAGACCTTATCGATTATCATCTCTATGGTGTCATCAGCCAGCTTCATTTCAGATTCGCATAGAAGGGCGATCAACATTTGCTTTACCTTCCAAAAATAATCACACACACAACAATTATTTTCTGCAAAAGGGCATTTCGAAACCGGCGACGAAATTTGGAAATGTTCTCAGAAACAGGTCTTTCACTGTCCAAACACCACAGCATATCACTCATGGTCTGAGTTTGGGGGGAAAAAAGAAGGGAGATCATTACCTCTTGGCGCTCAATGAAGCCTGTGCAATCCATGTCGTAAAGCCGGAATGTAACTGAAAATAAACGATAAACGGGCATGAATAAGGTTGTGATAAAAACTTAAGAGAGACAATAGATATAGATTTTGTCACTTCTCTTATGCCAACTTACAATCGATTTTGTCATCCGGGGATATGTTGGGGTGGAAAACATTTAGTGACCTAACAAAGTCCCCGAAATCGATGACGCCTTTTCGTTTAGCGTCAAACATATCGAATATCTGCAAAGAAATCAACATTTATTTAATTCTGTATCCTCAGCCTTATAGCTTAAGAGTGTTTTTAAGCTCTCGTCCAGAAGAAGACAATTCTAGGAGACTCAGAAAATTAGATCACCATATTAGCAAACATGTTATCCTTCTTTCTGTTCTTGAACAAAGCAAGCTGAAACTCCTCCTGCACAGACGCGGGAGATCATAAATACTATCCATTTTCGATGTCAAACCAACCAATGGAGAATCAAATTCGAGTGAAATAGTAAAGATTACAATGCATTGAATCTGTTCTACATGGAGCGGACAGATCGGAAGAATGATGAGAAAAAAATATCTAGAGTATCGATATCTTTACCTTGCTTATCAAGCCATCATCAACAACCGAACTGCTTATGCTCTTAAACAGCTCAAACAGTGCTTCAACCTCACTCACACTAACTGGAAAACAGAAAAACAAGCGACACTGCAAGATCAAACAAAAAATCATGGGAACAATCGATCAATTAACTTTCGAACATCTTCTATATCGAGATAAGATATATAAAACAGACCCTTTTCAGAATTTTCTGATCAAGATAAACTATTGAGTAAATCCGCAGCATGGTGTAAAAGTTAGATTGACGATCCAATAAAATGCTTAAATAGTTTGAGGGCTCTCCTATCAGCAGCAGTCAGCAGACTATCATGCCAATCAAAAACATCCCCGAAACAAAAGATGAATCAACTTTGAATCAATAAATTATGTAAAAACACCCTCTTGAGTATATTCAGTCAGAGAATCATGCTAGATGGAAGATAGATTATAATTTAAACCAAATGCACTACACTGTTGAACCGAGAAAAGACTGGTGAACCAACCCTGTAAAGGAACCACCTTTAGGTTCCTATTGATTTAGGTTTAACCTCTTCGCTTAGACTTTGCTAACACTAACAGAAAAACAAAGAAATGTTTGACACTGCAAGATCAACAAAAACATCTCCGAAACCAAAGACAGATCAACTTTGAAACATTCCAAGACGGATAAACTGTGTAAAGAGGATGCTTCCATAGCAGCAGATGAATGAATGTAAAGGCAACATCTACAGTAATTCTAATTGATATTTAACAGGAAACTTGTCGCGCAAGTAACTTACAAGCCGTCTCGGAGGATAACTTTACGGGGTCTTCGTGTCCCCGAAACTCTCTTGGTGACTTGGAATGGAAGCAACCCATTTACGGATGAGAGAAGGCCAAGAAACCCAAGATGAAGAAGAAGATAGCGGATGATCAAGCCGCTACTTCTAGGGTTTCTGAGATGCTAAGTTTGATTGCTTCTATTACTGCCATCACCACAACAATCTTAGAATCTACAAAGATTCCAGGGAAACAGAATGGAACTCTGGATAGAAACATAACCCAGAAAATCGACTTAGCTGAATGAGCAATAGATAAATCCCAAATTACAAAAACGAAATAGTGCCTTTAAGAACCCCCAAAAAAAAAGAGAAAGAAACCCACAACTAGGATTTTCCTTTTGCATTCCCTTCAGCTTGCCCCGAATCTTATTTTCCCGGTAACCAATCAAACAGACCAAGAAATATTGTTTCAAAAAACAGATAAAGAACCTAAACCCCAGAAAAAAGAAAAAAATCAAAGTTCATCAAGGAAAAAATAGTAGCAACCGGAGGCAAAAGAATTTCTTTACCCTAAAAAATCAAATCTGTAACAAAATGCATTGCAATTAAAACAATTAATCACAGGAGAAAAGCCAAAATCAGAAATCGATTGCACAACGGAATTCATCAAAAAATCCCTAAAAAGGAAACCGGGACTCACCAGGGAGAGAAGGAGAAACCGAGGGGGGGGGGGGGT